CCAAGCCAGCCTACTTGTTAGCTACACATCCAGAAATTTGATGCTGCTAACCATTTCCACAGGTGAATCATTAATACACAGAGGAGTGTGGCTGTGCCTGTCTTTTCTGAAATTGACAATGATCTCTTTAGTTTTTTCAATGTTTAAAACTAGGCTGTTTTTCTTACACCAGTCCACCAAACCCTCTACCTCCTTGCAGTAAACACCCTTATTGTCATTTGAATAAGGTCTAGTACTGTTGTGTCATCCGCATACTTCACAATATGGTTAGTGATAAACCTTGCACAACAGTTAGGAGTCAACAGCAGCTGACTTAGGACGCAGCCCTGAGGAGAACCTGTGCTCAAGAAAAAATGGTATTAGAAATATTAGTTCCAACTTGCACATACTGGGACCTGTCAATAAGAAAATCAAGAATCCAGTTGCACAAAGGAGTATTAAAACCTAAAAGGCCCAGTTCATCTTCTAGATGCCGAACTAAAGTCGACAAACAGCATTTGGACATGAGTATTTCTTTCCTTTTAAGTGCTCCAAGCTCAAATGGAGAACGGAAGAAATAGCATCCTCTGTAGAGTGATTTGGACGGTAAGCAACCTGGAGTGAATCAAATACTGGTGGGAGGCTGGATACAATAATGTCCTTCACCAGCCTCTCAAAAGGACATTATATCCAGCCTCCCGCCAGCATTTGATTTGCTTCAGTTTGCTTGGCCTGTGCTTCTGGCTTCCAACAGCAGGGGGCATCCATGCAGTTCTTTTTCTCCTGTCTCCCAATCTTCGGCTGTCTGGGGCTGTGGGCAAGGCTGGCGCTCCTTGGTTACTCCATCCCCTGTGGATGGTGAGGCTCCCCAACTTGCCTGCCTCTCCAGCTGGGTTTGTCCTGCTTGAACGGGAGCGACATCCATTCCAACTTTTCCCGTGTGTTCCAAGCTGCAGATGGCGGAGCTCAGTCACATGGTCACGATCCTGCTCCTGGGTATGTGTGTGTCTTGAGTGACAGCCATGAAATCAGTTTTTAAGGAAGATGACACCAAACATTACCATCTATTTCTTAGGTTTCTAGCCATTCAGCTGCAGGAGACTCCTGGCATTCCCTTCTCCCATTTCTCAAATAAGGCAGCACCCCTCTGTCATAAGCCATCATGGTTTGTTAAAAATACTTGGCTATCTGTCCTCCATACAACATGCAGATTGCCACACAAAGCCCAGTACCAGAGATCCTTCTTTCTGTTCTGCTCACAAGCTCCAACAATTGGGGTTCCAAAGAGTGCGGTGAGACAACTTGCAAGGTATGTAGAGTGAGAGGTGGCGTTGGTTTAAATTGGGAAGGGGTATGCAAAGATTCTCTTGGGCAAAAATGTTCTGTTCCCTTTTAGTTCTCCACCTCTCAAATGAGACACCAAGATTTGGTCCCTCTGGAGCATTGGCAGAAAGGCCTTTGGACCGTGCCAGCAGGTGGGGAGCCAGAAGTGGCCCACCCTGAGATGGAGCCCTGCTAAGATGTAGTGCAGTGTGATTTGCTTTGGGCCCAGCATTGTGGGTACTTTGCAATCCAGAGTTTATGGTTCAAAAGGAACCGTATGCATGAATTAGGCTACTAAACTAACCACTCATAGTCCTCTGGCTCCTGGGCAAAGGAAATACAGATTACATTGCAAAGGATAAACAAATATTTTTGGTTGGGGAGGGGAAATTAACTGCTTGGAATTGGACTGCAAGAGTTGAATACAGGTAGTCCTCCACTTATAACACTTCATTTACTGACTGTTCAAAGTTAATGGCGCTGAAAAAAATGACATGACTTGCAACAGCACTGAAAAAAGTGACCATTTTTTCACTTATAATTGTTGCAGCATCCCCGTGGTCACGTGATTTACATTCAGATACTTGACCAGTGGTTCATATTTATGACAGTTGCATGTCCTGGGACCATATGATCCCCTTTTTGTGACCTTCTGACAAGCAAAGTCAATGGGAAAGCCAGATTTAACTTAACAACTGCAATGATTCACTTAACAAATGTGGCAAGAAAAGTTGTAAAATGGGGCCAAAGTCAACATATTTCTCATTTAGCAACATAAATTTTGGGCTCAATTGTGGTTGTTAAGTTGAGGACTACCTGTATAAGAAATGATGTCAACTTTCTCTGTGCCAGAAGTTCATGTCCAAGTTAGATGCAACAGGACAGTTTTGATAAGCTTACAGATGATCTAGGTAGGATCCGTGGGAAGACGTCTTCCAGAGAAAGAGAAGAGGGCATGGGTGAGGATAGACAATCCAGTAATCAAATCTGCAGATGACCAAACACCAGAGAGGCTGTATCAACATTTATAAGAGGAGCATCGGGCCACAATCTTCAAGATCGATTTTAACAGATGGAAAGTCCTGCATTTGGATAGGAAACATGAAGCTAGATGGACTTTGTCAGGGATACTTCAGTACTGGAATCCTGCAATGGGCAGGGATTGGACTAGATGATCACCAAATCCTCTTGCAAGTCTTCTAATTATGGGCCTTCAGCCTTGTGGTCTTCTTTAAAATCCTAACTCAACCAAAACAGCCAATGCCTCAGAGGAACCTCATTTAAGCCTTCATCCCTCACACCATTGTTTTATCATTTTGTAGGAATCACCCAGCCACGATCCTAAGTCGGTTAAATCCAAGCAACTGAAGGAAAAGTCTAGGAGGAGTGCTTTACATCAAGGTACCTGGAAAAGAATGTGGGATTGCAAGGGAGGGTTCCGTTCTCCACAGACAAATTGGAGACAAGCAGTTTGTTTCCCTGAAATGAAACACAAATCATTCTGAGTTGGCTGCGCATTAATTATTATTGAAAGAAAAATCTTCATCAGGGTCCAATCCAAGCTGGGAATAAACAAAATGGAGGCTGTTTAGAAAGAAGGTTCTTAATATTGAGTTGCAGAACCAGACAGAAATGTGGTTCTGGGGCAGCTGACCTTCTTGGGCTTTTGTGTTTGGAGTTGTTCCTGTTCTTGTGGCATGAGCTTTGACCTGAGGTTCAGTGTGCCCTTTTGGTATTCTGATGGTGGTGGGTTAATCCAATTATGTCCTAAAGGTCATGTCCTGCTTCCCTGGGGCTGGGGCTGATAGCCTGATGTCCTGTGTTGGATTTTTGGGTGAGGGGTTGCTGGTTCTAATTCTATCACTCTACTATTGTTACCTATCAACTCTTGCTCCAAGGGTTTTTGAAAGATTCTGTCTTGAATGGGTTTCTGCAGATACTATTTGTTCATGAATGGGGGGCTCAGTCTTTCTGAATGGGATTATCAAATCTGCATTTCTACAGACTTGGCCTGCTAAATTTCTGGCTGGGGGAGAGGAAGAAGTTTCTGCCTTTTAATATTCCCCCAAATATTTTGTTCTGGGGGGGAGGTTTGTCTTCCTAACAGTTTAAAATACAGATGGCAAAACTGAAACTTTATAGGTAGGGAAAGACTGGGCTGCCTTCCTGCCCCCCTCAAAGAGATTTGTCCAGCACTCCAAACAGTCTCCTGAACTGTTTTTGCAGGAAACTGCGTTGCAGGAAAACATCTGGCAAACATCTGGTTCAAGTTACAACAGGACTGAGCGGAAAGGCTATTTTTACCACTCCTCTGGGGGGGAGAGGAGGGGGGGCAGCAGGAGGAAAGGGAATGCATGGAGTTTCTTTATCCTAGGAGCAATGACACTTCACCCCCACCACCCCCGCCGCAAACCCACCCACCCCCAAGCAACAGGGCTTCAGTTCTCCAGAGGCCAGGATCTGCCATGTCTTGGATGACAAAATTAACTGCTTTCCCTAATTCCAAAATTAATTCCAGAATTTTTTTACAGCTACTTGCTTGCATGAACTGCATACAGCTACTTGCTTGCATGAACACACACACACACACACACATGCCTGGTCCAATCACAATCCTCTGTAGCTATAGGACAAAGGCTTCTATTCCCTGCTGGAAAAGCAGGGGAGGAGGAGCAACATCTGCCCCCCCCTCATCTCCAAGCTGAAGACCAGGGAATCTCTGGAAGGTTATGAGAGGGGAAAACCAAGTGTGGGAACAGCTCGCTTACCGAACCAAGAAAGCCCTGTAAGAGGTGGTCCATGCATCCCCCCCACCCCCACACACCCAGTGAGAGCCTGGAGCCTGGGAGGAGAAGAACCAAAACTTCTCAGGAAAGTATCAGCTTCCTCCATGCGTGGGGTGGGGGTGGGGGGGAGGCTGGTCTGGCACTTGATTCAAATGAGGTTGTACTATAAAAACACCCTTGGAAGGAATGTCCAAGTGATACAAACTGGTGATTCCCTCCAGGCACTGGGGCATTTTTGAGGAATGACACCCATAATCCGCCTAAGGGAACAAGCATTGAGCACCACAAGAAGCACTGGAATAATACTGTTTTATAAAAGATAAGGCAGTTTTACACATTAAATTGAGTATTTGCTAACAGTTAACCGCTGCATTCAGTGAGGAACTAGCAGAACAAAGCGCCTGGGCACCAGGCACAGGACTCTCTGCAGCCCATCTCTGCCGGCCCCAGCTTCAGTCCACGAGAGGCCACTGGTGGACTCATCAGACTCCCCTATCCCCCTCTGCTGAACCCCTTTTTAGAAAACAAGAAATTTCACAGCAGAGGAAATTCCAGGAGAGTCACCATGTTGTAGGAGGGTAGCCTAAGATACAGTACTTCAAATAAGGAATTGTGGGGGGGGGGGATTTCCTATGGCTTGGCAAGTAAGGAGAAGAGCCTGCCCACCAACTGGGGAAAGAGTGGGTGCAGAGCACATACCTGGGCACAGCGCCAGCCCTGGGCAAGCAGGTCAGCTAAGATTGGGATGGGCTGTTCATACTGAGCGCAGCTTCTTCAGCTGTTGGAGGTTTTGACCCCTGAAGGTCTTGTATCCTTCCACAGAGCAGGCCCAAAGTCCCTGAAGCCTCCTCCCTTCCAGATCCATTAGGGGATGCTGTAAGAACTTTTCAGAACCCATAACAGACTCCCTTCCTCCCCACCCCCACAGGGTCAGAGAAGTTGGTACCTAGAAGTGGTCCTCTTAGTGTCCCTGCCACAGTCCTGCCCAATTGATCCTTGAGGCTCCCACTGGCTGTGTGTGATGCTCACAGTCAATCACATACATTGGGGAAGACCTCTCCCCTCCCACCCGCCATTATCCCTCTTAGTTCAAGGTCTGTGATTGCTGCAGTGCCTCAAAGAGTGCCTACTCAGCTTAGGCATGAAAGAAGAGGTTGATCAATAGTAGTGGACTCTCCCGATGGTCCCAGTCCCGGTTCCTAGAATGTCTGGTTGCCCATTACGCCAAATTTCTCTGAGGACCCTCTCACGCTCCTCCAGACGCTGGGCACGTTCCAGTTCCTCAGCCGAAGCAAAGACACTGATTGTGAGGGTTTCATCAGGGGTGCTGGGGGATACCAGGGGCAGCTCTGTCATGGCTAAGGTGGGGACAGAAAGTGCATGGTTGGTTGTATCTTCTTCCTCTTCCTCCTCCTCCTCCTCCTCCTCCTCCTCCTCTTCTTCCTCCTCCTCCTCGCCCTCACTCAAGTCCTGCAGGCTCTTTTGGTGCTTGGGGGGGATGGCTTGAGGGTGCCATGAGATGTGAATGACCAGCAGGCAGAGCGTCAGCACCAGACCAAAGCAGACACCCAGCACGAAGTAGAGGCCCACACTCTCCAGGTTATCTAGTCAAGACAAAGAGGAGCGGGTCAGAAATGGTGGCTTAGGAGAAGGAGGAGGAGATGGGGGGGGCCTCACTGGGCAAATCCTTCCCAGTTTGTTCTCTCCAGGAATGGGCTGCTCGGGCACCACAGAAGTTAAATCAAACATTCTGTGGCACAGGTACAGGAAGCTGCTCCTATCTAATCTCTAGTGGTACATCTCCTCCTTGGGGGATGTCATTTACTTTTTCTGTGCTGCTCTTCAGACTGCAAGGAGGGAATAGCAATCTACCCAGAAAACAACATGGATGGGCTAGACTAAAGGGATTGAATCTGACTATCTCCACCATTTCTCCCTCCTGGAGAACAATAAGACAACAAATAAAACCACCAATGCTTAAAACAATAAGAGGTAAGTTCATTTTAAAAATCAGAAAAGCAAGGCAACAGGCACAATAATCTTTGCACTTGAAGCAGCTGTAGCCCATACAGCTTTCCAGGTCTTCTGAAAGACAGTACAAATAGTCCTCACTTACTGACCATTCATTTGCTGGTCAAAGTGACAATGCTGAAAAAAATAATTTTACTGCCCATTTATGATCTTTGCAGAGTCCCTATCATGTGATTGCCATTATAGTCAGTATGTGTTGACCTGTGCCTGTGTTTTTTTCTTTCCCCCTTATGGAGCAGAGAGATAGGAGAGGAACTGCAAGAGAGTAAGCTGCTCTTCTACGCATTGATAGCAAAGTGATCATTTTCTCTCCAAATTCTTTTCTTTGTGTGAAAGAGAAACAAGCAACTGATTTCTGTAGGCAATATCTCTGCAGAGACTGGGGGAGATGGATTTCAAGAGAGTAACTTGTTTGGGTAGTATGTCCACAACTCACAACTTGTAATTTTTGGATGGTCTTCAAAGGTAGTCCTATGTAGAGTGCATTGCAGTAATCCAAGCAGGGAGCGACCATTGAGCAATCTGTGTAAAGCCCACCTGGGCAAGGCTGCCACCTGCTCCTTGAGCAGGAGTCGTAATTCTAGGAGGACCTCCTAACTCGGTCCAGGGGAGTGCCACCCCATCCAGAGTAAAAAATGACATATCACCCGAGCTGGGGGAGGGGGTGAAAGACCCAGAGGCACAATTTAGTCACCAATTGCAGATGACACTAAACTGGCAGGAATAGCCAACACCCCAGAAGACAAGCTCAGTGCCACTATTCTGGCCCTCCTGAACCTCTCAGCAGGTTTTGATATAATGAACAATAGTATCTTTCTGGACTGGCATTGGGGGTTTGAGATGGGAAGCACAGTTTTGCACTGATTCTCCTCTTTCCTGCATAGCCAGGTCTATTCAGAGTTGGTGGAGGAGGAGAGGTTCAGTGCCAGATCCTTGCAACATAGGATGCCTCAGGGCGTGAGTTTTTCAGCTCTCCTCTTTAATATCTAAACCACTAGGGAGGTCATCCAATGGCATGGGGTTATACATCCACTTCTCTCCAGGCAGGTGAAGCTGTTGCAGTGCTAATTGAAAATCTGGAGGCAGTAAAGGTCTGGATGGGGAGAAATTGTTAATAAGAATAGAATAGAATAGAATAGAATAGAATAGAATAGAATAGAATAGAATAGAATAGAATAGAATAGAACCTGGAAGGGACCTTGGAGGTCTTCTAGTCCAGCCCCCTGCTCAAGCAGGAGAACCTATACCATCTCAGACAAGTGACTGTCTAGTCTCTTTTTAAAAATCTCCAGTGATGAAGTGCCCACGATTTCTGAAGGCAAGCTGTTCCATTGATTAATTGTCCTCACTCTTAGGAAGTTTCTCCTTAATTTTAGGTTGCTTCTCTCTTTGATCAGTTTCCAACCATTGTTTCTCATCCTTCCCTCAGGTGCTTTGGTGAATAACGTGATCCCCTCTTCTTGGTGGCAGCCCCTCAAATACTGGAATAACTGCTATCATGTCGTCCCTGTTTCTTCTTTTCTTTAGACTAGCCAAATCCAAGTCCTGCAGCTGTTCTTCATATATTTTAGTCTCCAGGCCTTGGATCATCTTGGTTGCTGTTCTCTGAACTTTTTCCAAAGTCTCAACATCTTTTTTGACCAAAATTGGTTGCAGTATTCCAGGTGTGGTCTAACTAGGGTTTTATAAAGCGGTACTAATACTTCGTGTGATCTTGATTCTATGCCTCTTGCAAAGAGTCATTTAACCACCACTCAACCTAAATACATACTACCTCCTGGGATCCCTGACCAACCAGGAGAGGCATGAGTCCATGTAGCTGAGCTTATAGCCACAAGGACCCTGTCCAATTCTTCAGGATCAACCGGCTCAAATATTTCCCAGATAGTTGGATTCAGTCACTTCCAAGAGATCCTGCCCAGCAAGACCAAGCATGTTGTGCACCCATCAAGTGCTCTCAAACACTGTGTGGTGTGGAGGCAGACACATATTTCAACCAAGCCCCATTTGCCCACTTACCTCGGATATGTGCATAGGCTGCAATGCTGCTACTCAGGAGTTCCATTTCCCCTTCACCGTCAGCTTCCATGGCAGATGCCTTTGTGGTACCTGGAGAGGGGAGGATAGTTTCAGCAGTGAGGAAGGTTTGCATCATCCTGGACTTTGCATTGCCCTTCAACTGGCTAGCTGGTTTGTTTTGACTATTTATTAATTAAAAATTAAAACATAATATGCTCCTTACATTTCCTTCAGTTGCTCAAGGGAGCTTACAGACTGATTGTCTTTCATTTGATCCCCAAATGCAAGAGCTGTGAAGTGGGCTGGGCGGAGGAAGGGTGAGTGACTCAAAGTCACCCAGGAGTCTCCATTGCTGAAAGTAGACTGGAGTTGAGCAGGCAGTGTCACAATAGGGATATTATGCTTTTGCAAGGCTGAATGGATCCTCTGGGGCAGGGGTGGGCAGCTATGGCCCCTTTACAACCATGCTGGGAGCTGAAATCCACAGGGGCCATAATTGCCCACCCCTGCTCTGGCATCTCACAGCAGAAGAGAAGCTGAATGCTTCACTCAGGTGATGTCACAGTGGTTCTTTCACATCTGCCTGTCTCAGAGGTGGAAATATGGGGGCAGGATGGGCTGGATCCCAACCATAGTGCAGTGCAGGAAAAAGCTGCCTGCCTACTTTCAAGAAGTCAGACCAATAAGAGACACACAACTACCTTTTCCATAGCACTTAGAATGAAGCAAGTTAAATAAAAGGAGCTTTGAAGCCAGGATGGCAGCAAAACAGAGTCCTTTTAACCAGCAAGCACGGCCTGGCTCCCCCCTCCCCGCCCAGCCCTGCAGAGGCATCATGGGAGGCTGCCAAATCCTGGGAGTAAATCGAAGCTAGCAGCCAAACAGGACAGGAAATGGTTTCTTTTCCTTGCCCTCTGCTTTAGCTCTCTTTGGCTCTTAAAATGTTTTCTGAGCTGCAGAACGGAGCAGGCGAGGGAGGAAGGAAACCTCTTGGAGCTTCCTGGCTGAAGAAGAATCCAAAATGGCACCTCCCATTCTCAAAGCTGATCCAGGCGCTCTTTTGTGGGTCTGGCCCAGGTTGTGGAGATGGGCAAAAACTGAGGCTTTTCCTTTTCTTTTATATCCCACCAGTCCTGATGCTTCCCGTTACTGTCCAGGAATGGCTGCACCTGAGGGGCAGAACAACTGACTGGGCTTCGAGGCTCCTGTTTCTGCTCCAGCCCAGGGCAGGCGCTAGGCTACATGGCAAGGATGCCTACCGAACAACTTCCACGTTTTCTCACTTCCACTGGCAAGTATTCCCCTTCCTGCTCCTTGGTGGGGACAAATTGTGCTGCAAGGACAGCTGCATCATGGGCTTTGGGACCTGGAAGGAAGTTCAAAATATTTTCTCCATCTTTCCACTCCAGAGAAGAGGACAAGAAAGAGAAAATGCTATAAGTTCAGTTTGGGGAGGATGGACTTCTACAACATGGACTGTATCTCAGAAGATCCGTTGATCTATGCTACATGTGATCAGGAAGGTTTCAAACTACCTCTGTCAGGATTAGATATGTAAACATTATTATTATTATTATTATTATTATTATTATTATTATTATTATTAATAATAATAATAATAAATAGAATAGAATAGAATAGAATGGAGTATAGAGTAGAACAGAATAGAATAAAATAGAACAGTTGAAAATGCTGCAACACAGAAGCACAAAGGTTGTCCTCAATTTTTCAAAGGGCACAACAAAAATAATAAAAATTACAGCCCCACATCCACTGAAGTGTAGTTTGAGTGTAAAAAGAATGAGCTCCCCTTTCCTGGTTGTGTAGAGATGGGAAGCTTGAGTCGGGGCTCCTACAGAGAGCTGGGACTGGACTCAAGGGTCCCTCTAGGAAGGACAACTGACTGCAGCCACTCCATTTGTCCTGTTGACTTCTTCACTGCTTTGGAACCAGCAGGGTAGTTCTTGGGAGGGGCAGGTCCTCCTGGTTTTCATTATGCAGCATTGTTCAGATGTCAAAGGTCAGAGGACTTCCCCCCTGGTGACTGGCACCAAAGGAGTATCCAAGGACCGCTGAAGGAACAGAGGCACCTTCCCTTTGGGGAGAACCCATTTCACTCATGGAAGCGCTCAGCTCCGGCCTCTCCTTGCCAGAGACTGCCAGAAGGTAAGTGGGCAGAGAAGGTGCATTTGGGGGCTTCCTCTCATGGACGCCCAAGGTGCGCACTGTGCACAAAGATCGACCAATTATGTATTGGCAGTTTTGATTCTTTGGGTGGATGGGTCAGGTTTGGTTGTGTTCCATCTAGTAATTTCCTTTTTAAACATCCTGAGAGTTGCAAAGAACATCGATTACAAAGTCTCTCCACAAGAAAAGGAAGGAAACAGCTTTAAAGGGGTCCCGGGCTGCTTCTTTCCAGGGCGCGGGGAAGCCCAGCAATGTCACCGTCTCCCGCCAAACAGCAGACGGGGCAGGAAAAGCAGGAATGCGGGCGGAAGAAACCATCGGGAGAGCAAACCTCGGAAAGCCAGAACTTGAGACGCTACAACTTTTGGAAGTGCCCCCCCCACCCCACCCGCGAGAAAAGACGCTCGCCTCAACGCGGCGAAGGAGGGAGCGCGCGGCACGGAGCTCCGCCCCACCCCGAGGCCCCTTCCCGGGGCAACCGCGGCCGGGCAGGGGGGCTCGGGCGGCGGGGGCTGGTAGCCCGCCAGGTGACGCCCCCTCCTTGCGCTCCTCGGACAGTCTGCGGGAGCGCGGCCCCGCAACTGCCCCCGTCCCTGGCTCGGGGAAAGGGAGGATGGGGCGCCGCCCGGGACTCGTTCCTCCAGAGAGACGTGGCTCCGGCTAAAGGGGCTCCGTCTAGGGGCCAAGGGGGAGGGCGGAGAAGGTTCAGTCGTGCCCTGCAAAACGAAGGAGCGAGGCAACCTCTGAACTTAAGCAGAGTGCCGGCCAGGAGTCGCCAGCCTTGTCCTCAGCTGGGCTTGGCGGCCTGCCTCTCCCGCCAGATTGTGACCACCCAGGATCCGGCGAGGCCCGGCGGCGAAGCCTCGGGCAGCTGCCGGGACGATCTGGAAAGCGAGCTCGTACGGCGGTCGTCGAGAGAGCCCCTCTCACCATCTCCGCCGCCGGGGGAGCAGAGGCGTGAAGCAGCGGCTTACCTGTTGCCTTCAAGGCTGCGGCTGCCGGCTCCCCATCGCGGCAGAGCCAAGCACGGCCCGCGGGAGGATCCGGCCGCGGCTGAGGAGCCGAGCCGAGCTGGCCAACCGTCCGGCGCGAGTGGAAAGGGGCGCTCCCTTCCGCGCAGCCGAAGCGAGCGGGACAGGCGGGGCGGCTGGCAGAAGGGACGCTCTCGGCACCGCCCCGGAGCCCTCTGTCAGCGGAATTAGCAGGAGGGGAGCCCGCCCTTCCGCTGGGACGGCCTCCGGGGCGGTTGCTAGCGGGCCAGGGAAGCGGCGTCCTGCCCGCCGAGGGCGAAACGAGCCCGCTCCGGCCTGCCGCCCCTTCCCCTCCCGCGCGGGCTGGGGAGGACTCGTGGGCGCCGTCTGGGGAGCGGCTTCAGATCAGGAAAGGTGGCCTCAGTTGGGCGGAGAGCCCGCCCCGTCTTCAACCCCAGCCCCTCCCGCGAAACAGCCGCCCTGCGCCGGCGGAGGCAGCCAGAAGCCTCCTGGCCGTGGCCGAAATGCCAGAAATGCAGGGCGGCAGCCGCGGAGGTCAGCGGCGGCTCCGGCCTTTTCCGGCCCTGGCGCGGGGAACGCTGCCTCTCTCCTGATGGGCGGCGGGGGGGGGGAGAGGAGGGGGAAGGCGGCTGGGGAAGCTGAACCAGGCCAAAGGGAGAGCTCGGCCCCCCCAGGGCAGCTGCGGCTTCCTCTCCCCCCCCCCAGCTGCCCTGGTTAATGATTCCCTCCGAGGCAGAGATGGGAAGGCAGGCGCCGCTGGCCTCCCGGGCACCTTCGCCCTTCAGCTGCCCCGGGCTCCCAAAGGGGCAGCACTCATGAGAACACAAGCGGATTTGTCACCAATGGAAGGGAAAGCAGCTTCCCTGAGATTTGGGCAGGCCCAGGTCAGGGGAGGCCTTCAGGCGTGGGAAGGGGAAATGTTTACTCTGGTTTGGGGGAAGCTGTAGCTCAGCCATACTCCCTGCCCTGCTCAAAAGGCCAAAAGATGGCCCAGCCCTGCCTGCCTAATGCCACATGTGGCCAGGAAGTTGCCCTCCCAGCGGAGACCTTGGGCAGAAGGGAAGCGGAGGCCGAGCTCTCTTCCAAGCAGCCAGTGGAGTGGGTTGGTCCAGTCTTTGGCTTGCCTGAGCCACACTGAGTGAAGAGGAATTCTCTTCAGCTGCCTCTAAAATACATTATGTTGTTAATGTACATAAATAACCTTCCTTTATTTTTTAAATATTTTTTATTGTCTTGTGGGACTGTGATACTAACTGTCCAGTGCTGCAAGCAGCCTGTGAGCTCCGGATTGACATACCTACATTAGAGATCTTGGAACTGGAAATTCCTATAAAGCTGGGACAGGAGGTGGAGGGGGACACCAAATCATTCCAGGAGTGGCCAAACATAGAAAGACATTCCTGCTTTCAGGGAGGGGAGGGGGAGAGAAGATAGAAGATAATATATAGAAAGGAAAGAGAAGGGAAGGGAGCCCACTCCTACACTGCTTACCTGGGTACTACTAGGAGAAGGATCCAGGGCCTCTGGGAGAGCCAGGAAGCCCAGAAACTGGCAGTTTGTCCCCTCCTCCTGTGTCCGCCTCCTCTTGACTGCAAAGGGAGATTGCAGACAGGCTGGGAGTTGGGGTCTGGTTTGCATTAAGGTTGCAGAGCAACAGGAAATAGTTGCTGGTTGGGGCCAGAGCTCCCCTTTCCTCTTAAATACAGGCTTGGGGAGGGGTGTGTGGTTGGGAAGTTTCTTTGCTTTAGAACTTGTGCATGGCCACAAACACTTGGACAGACACAGCATCAGCCAGGTGAAGTAATTATAGCAAGCTAGAAAAGAGCACACTAGACGTCCAGTCTTCAGCTTGGAAGGGGCAATAGTAGCCCCTTCCTTAAAAAGTTAAAGG